GGGGGGGGGGGGGTTCCCCCTTATCTGAAAAACAAAGATTCGAAGTTATAATGCATATTGTAGCATACTAACATAAACAATAATCAATAAATGACGAGAAGACAAGACTATTTTGATTCATAATAATATTAGTTCAATGGTTATCTTCAAAAGAAATGAGAATATCAACTAATACATATATATTCTAATTTTCGATGAATTATCCATAATCTTCTTTTACTTGTTATTACATATAAATAGAATATTTCGAATAGGTTCAAGGATCAGTGATGAATGTAATAAAATCGTAGTTTCATTACTATTATTTTCAATTTTTCATTAAAATAAATAGAATATTTATTTATGTCAATAGATTCTATCAAAATACAATGAGTAAAACGAATAGAACGGTTTTTCAATGCAAAGAAAAATAATTAAAACAAAAATTAATCGATCATAAATAATGTTAAAAAGAATAATCACAAGTTTTCGAATGAATATTTAATCTATCAAGTCAGTTAAGAACGAGAATTTAATATCGACTACTAACATTATCTATTTAATTCAATGTTGTCAATTTTACATTGTATTATCATTTTTTTTTGTTTAAATATTCTTTGAAAATAATTTGTTTCATTCAATTTTCAATGCCACTAATAATCTTTTAATCATACATGAAGATTCATTTCATATATATTTTCGAAATATAGATAAGTTTCAGTTTAAAATGCTCTCTCCTTTTTCAAATCAAATGTTAAAAATTCATTGATATAATGCATCTAAAGGTTTGTTTTTTTTCTTCAATAACAATTAATATTCTTCCTAACTTTTTTTTTTAAATGTGAAATCTGTTCATATGAAAGTAATCAATTTCTGCCTTATTTCAATATACAATTCATTACTGTATTATAACTAATTAATAATATATGAGAGATATTTTCGAGAAACAATATCAAATCAAATTAATAATATTCTCATCTCAATTTAGACTTATGAGTTGAAGACGGAAACCGCAAATCTATTATTACCAACGTTAAGTACATTGCTGTGTGTGTA